ATGGTCATTCACGCAGACCAATGTCCAATATTTTTGCCATTCCACAAATTCGGTTTGTTTACCTCCAAATATAGCGTCGCATTTTTTCTGAAACTTGGGATTCTCAGCTGACCTCAGTTTTGCTAACCAAAAGAGGCAAAGTTTGACACGTTTTTGCTATCAGTGATCCTTCAGTAGGGGGTGAACACGCGCTGGTGCGACGTCCTTGTGCATTTCCGTCCTTTGTAGGTTTCCTACACGAAATGGTCACGTGCCTGCTGGATTTGTGGTTGCCTGGTGCCTGTGGCACTGAGCTCAAGTACAGTGAATATGTAGGAAAACCATTGTAAATGACTTCATCTCAAACTATTCTCTCTTCTCATTCCATCTTTCGATAGTCACCGAATCACCTCCTACTTTCTACCGTGGGAAACCATGGGAATTTGCAAATGTCGATGATTCCAATGTCTGGCGTGTTGTGGAAGTCACAAGTACTTTACTTGGTAATTTTTTTCATCGACTGTTCAGACAGAGGATTGGTGAAGCATATGTGAAGTTAAAAACGTGAAATGGTGCCGTGCAGTGGCTGACCGCCAAGAGATGAATGATGTCAATCCCTTGCTGTTTCTTTGTGCTAAGGGTACACGGACCTCACAATACAGAACTTTTTGAAGCTGAATACGTTAACTTGTTGCATAGTAATCTGAAAATTAGTCGCAATGAAACGCGACAACCGTCCATCCAATAGTGACCTGAAGGGGCACTGGGAAATTTCACAACGTTCATCACCGATGTTCGATGGCCAACTGAAATGTACAACCCTTCTGTCCGTTTTAAGGTTTCGTAAGTCAGTGTGTGAAGGAAAGCGATAGGAGACTGACCCTTATCAAACCAGCATCAAGTACGCGGCACCAGCATTCTATGGAATATGTGTGTAAAAGTGTACTAGTGTACTAATGTACTAGTAGTGGTGAGGAGCGCGCTGGCATACAAATTCTTTTTACGTACGTTGGAATTTATCCTGTCTGACTGGGACTATTGGTGGCACGACCTCGAACGGAACCTTCCCCTCGTTACATCGAATGTTCTCTGGCACACCGTTCCATACCTACCGCTCGGATTTACGTTTTATGTTTGTGACCAAGCGTTTCGTAGATTCATGACAATAATAGCAGTTTTTCTAGGTTGCTTTGATTTATAGACGCATAGATATATATATATAACTTATATATACTTGTGTTTTGCCAAGCAAATATATATCTAAAACCGCTTACCCTTGTATGCAGCTGAACATGAAGTACAAATCAGACAATAAGTATAGACTCATTTGCAACGATTCATCTTCTAAACTCATTCGTTTCATGCGTACGATAATAATTAACAAGAATGAAGAACAAATGTGATGACAGCTACAGCTCATTGAATTGTGACAAGGTCATGGCTTCAGAGAGTGATTCCAGCCACTTGGAGGTTAGGTGTTCAAAAACGCGGGTGAAATTTGTCTTTCACTTAGAATGAAATTAAAGTTTGATCATTTTACGGTAAAATGAATAATTATTTTAAATTCCATTGTTTTCACTTACGTCCGACTGTCTCTGCAAACTCTTGAGAAAGGGAAACAATCATCAATGCATCTGAAAGTGTCAAAACCCTACTCAAAACGTTTAACAACGAGAAATTTGACCCTTAAAAGGTGGTCATATATGAATAGTCCCGACCCAAGTTTGTCACCTTGTCCTGGTGGTCCGGCTTCCGTGCTGCAATGATTCTGCGGGCTATACTGGCTGGAACTCAGTTCCTAAAGGTTCCACCATGCCAGGAAGCCAACGGTGAGCGGCCCGACAAAGAACAGCGAGTCTCCGTACGGAGAGTTAAAGTATTACGAGGCGATCTGAAGGTAAAGTCGTACTGTTTTCCGCGATTTCAGTAAGGCGTTTCCTCCAAGCGACCGTCATTTTCATATGTACGGAAATAGCGATGTTGACTTCCCCCGAGAAAGGACGGGTTAGAGAAGATCGGCCCCAAAAACCGCACACTCCGATCGCCCAACGGTTGACCGTGACCGCCGGCACATTATTCAATACGGTCGAAATACTTTTAAAACCAAAAAGTCCGGTGCTGCTCAAAAGGCACCAGCCGTGCGCAGTCGCATCAGGAGTGAGACAGTAATGCCTTATTCCCTGCATCCCCGGTCATACCAAGTAGGTCAGACTATTGAGTCCAGGAAGGGTCTACCAAGGTCTACCAAGCTCCAGGAAGGGTCTACAAAGTAAACCCTAACAACCGCTGTCCCGCGATCCAGGTCCTTGTGTCAAAGGGGCTAGCGGCAGGGTCCACGAACAAAACACTACATCCTCCCACTGCTTTGTGGGTCAGACTTTTGAGTCAAAGACTCAAGGCGGGGTACCTCAACTAAACACCTTCCTTCCACCTGGGTAATCTGGAAGTATTATTCCCCTTGCAGCATTTCGCTCACCGGCCTTCTCCTCATTCTTCCCAACCCATCGTACAATGCAGTGCAAAAAAACCATCCGCCGGTCCTCTAGTCACTAGTCCGTGTCCCAACCATCGCTCAGAAGAATAAACCCAAAATAATCACCTACTAATCTCAAAAGATGTGATCCACGTTGCAGCCTTCAATGTCCGTACTTTATGTCAAATCGGGTAAAAGGCATTCCATGCTGAAACCTTACTTTCCCTCTATCAATGTATATTATGCCTCAGAAACACACATACAGGACACCACTTCGGTCGTGTTCCTCAAACCGCTTACGACGAGCCCAGATGTTCCACATTTCACTGTTCGGGCATCCGGTGATCCTCACACAATGTCTTGTTGTATCTACGGTGTGAGAGTTGCACTCAGCCACAAGGCTGGAAGCGCCCTACTGGACTGGATCCCAGTAAACAGTCGCCTTTGAACTGCGCGGTTAACTGGCTCAATTAAGATGAACGCAGGTCGATGCGGTAAACGGTGTTTGTTTGTCGTATCAGCATACGCCCCAAGAGATAGCAGTTCTGAGACTGAGGACAAGTTGCATCAAGATACGTCATGACTGCTTCGGTCGGGAAGCAGGGCGGGTGAAATGAATGCCCAAGTTGGACGACTAATTCTGGAAGAAGCACAGTTAGGCGGTCAATGCAGAGTCGATACTGAGCATACGGATAATGGAGATCGGCTTCTTCGGTTGTGGACAAATCCTCAGCTGTTCCTGGCCAGTACGAACTATTAGCACAAACGCACACACCGAGTTAATTAGAGGTCACCTACCACAAGACATTCGTGGACTCATTTCGAACATATGGCTATCAGTTACCGACGGGAGCCTCAGTTAAGGATTGTCGCTCATCCTGGGGTATGCAACTTGACTCTGATCACGCCATCATGCAAGCCCCTTAGCACTTCGCTTTCCGCCAGCACCACGCGTGCCTAAACAGAGCAGCTTCGTTCATCAACTTCGACAAGTTTCAGTAGCTGAAGAGAATCGAGCCTATCTGGCTAGAAAGCTACTGGAAACGCACAGTCATGTGGACGACGAAAGGTGCATGCAGAGTGAATGGAGGCGAGTTGAAGAAGCAGCTTTCAGAACTGTTTGTCCAGCACACCTACTGCTTGAAATTACTCTGCCTGTCTTTGAAACCTCGGGAGTCGAAATGCTCCCTAGACGTCCCCTCACAGACATTGAGTATGCAGACGATGTTGCTCTCCTTAGATCAGATCCTTCTCAACTTCAAGCGCTTTCAAATAACCTAAACAACTTTGCCGCACGGTGTGGCACACGTTTCACACCTGCAAAGTGTAAAGTGCTGCTACGATAGTGGGTGGAATCAAACCCACACCTCATGCTTACTAGTGAGCCAATCGACGTGGTAGATAAATTTGTTTGCCTGGTCAGCTGTATGAGTTCCGGTGGACTGGCTGGAGATGAAATTATCTCTCGAATCGGAAAGGCCAGGTCAGTTTTTTCAAACCTCCGACACCTATGATGTCGATGTGACGTGAGATTATCTGTCAAGGAAAGAGATTACACTGCCGTGGTTCGATCCATACTGCTTTACGGATCAGAGACGTCGCTTCTACGCGCAGAGGACATAAGGAAAGTGCCACTGTTCGACAATCGTTGTCTTCACAGCATTGGTCAGGTCTGGTTAGAACATCCGATACGTAATGCTGAGGTATGCCAGATGGAGTTGGGAGGAAGAAAATGTCCCACGATAAATGAATTACTCATGCTTCATATTTTATGCTGGTTGGGACATGTACTTCGCGTTCCAAAAGACCATCTACCTTACAGGGTTCTTTTCGCCCAGCCCTGTGCTAAGTGGAAGAGACCAAGAGGTGAACAATGTAGGACCTGGCAACGAAGTACGAAAACACTAACCAGTAAACTAAGTCGGGTGAGCAACTGCGGCTTCCTGGACGTGGACTCCGGGATTCAAATCACCAGTGGTTAGTGTCATTGACTGAAATGGTCCAATTGCGCAGTTAGCAGTGCTCGTGCCTCAAAGCCATTGCCTTTAATGCGTAGCTACCCGAACAAACTGAACATACCTTCGACCCCAACGCTTGGTTGTATATTCTACATTGCCGTTTTCCTGTGATCCAAATTGCAGCGGCTGAAACCAATGTGCCTGTGGCACACGGTTCATAGCTGATAAATTCAGTGCTGAGCGTTCATAGGCTCGTGCGTATGCCTGAGGGCCTGATTATGCTCACCGCTTTGTTGGATTTTATTAAACTATATTGGATTTCCTGCTTAAAATTTGATCTGTGAATCCGTTATTATTAACATACACAGATAGACAGATAGATAGATACATAGTTTAACTGGTTGCCTGATCTGTTGATGGATTGATAGATAGAATGCTCCATTGACTGACTGATTGACTGACGGACTGGTTGATCGATCGGTCGATTGATTGATTGATTGACTGAATGAATGATTGATTGTTGATTGATTGATTGATTGATTGATTGACTGAAAGCAAATAGTGAAGCGAGCAGCACTTCTGTTTGTCGCATGACAGCGCGTGGACTTCTGGAAGAAGTATATCCACCAGAAGGTGTACAAAGTCCCTTGTTGATGTCTTTTATTTATTCATGCCTAATTTTCGTGTGTGCGAGTGAAGAGTCGGTAACAGCTTTCGATTCATTCAGTTTCAAAGTTGTTGGGCCGCAATCTGCTCTTCGTTTATATTCTTCCTGTAGGTATGAGCATTGCATCCCCGATTCAACGATGCAAACACTAAGCTGTCCACACTTTTTGTTAGTTACTTCCATAGGACGCCCCGTAAAACTCTCATCCAATACTGATCCACGACCGTACCGATGGAAGAATTGTCACAAGAGAGTATTCAACCCCCAAAACACTGCGCTTTTTTGGTTTCTGTTGCTAACTTTTAACTTTCAAACGCAATACGTTTGGAATTCTACTGGAAATATTTGAACCTCCTAGGATGCAACGCTTGCAGTGTGCAACCTGTCTCCAACAGAAACGTAGCAAGGTGTAGTGGATCTAAAAAAGGGTAACTAAAAATCCACATTTTGCTGCAATTATGATGTTCCTTTTGCAGGTCTAGCGAGTAGCCAATCAAGATTTACAAAACTAGGTAAAAGGGACGTTCAATGGCAAGGCCCCGGACAACAACCGCATCGTCAGAGAATGTTCCACAGGAGAACAATACTTGTGAAATTTTCAAATATTTTTCAGGGTTAATTGTGGATGCTCCCCTCAAGCACCACGATAAATTAATGAGTGTGGCCGGCTGAACAGAACAGACAAATTAGTTTGTTCTTCGACACATAGCTGATTACAAACGCGTCTCCCACGTACAGTGTTTTTTTTGCCCTTTTTTTTACATATGTAAGCGTGTACACACAATGGCGATTGTTTGTAACGCGTTACAGCCACCGGAGCTTTACTAGTGAGCACAGTTTATTTTTGCGCGATAAACCAATGAATGACCAAAAAAAGAGAGCGACAACTGCTCGCATGTGGCAGATAACACCGTTTGCTTTGTGCTGGCAGCAAGTTGAGACGTTTCGCCTAAGCACCCATATTAAGGGACTGGGTCTGTAGGATACCTCAACTCGATGTAAATTGCACATTCTTGAGAACAGCCCATTAAAGATCGTCTCCCTGTTGATCACGAATCACTTGAACTGCTCGCACAATATCAGTACACTGATCAATGTTAGGCTCTCCGAATCAGTATGTTAGCCAAGAGCATGACTTGTAGTACGAAACCAAAGAGATCCAAGGATGTGTGTTCTACTATGCGCAGTTAAAATCATCCGAAAATGTTTCTATTGAAGGACATACAGCACAAAAGATGAGAGATCAGCTGTTCAGCTGTCGGATAACTCCTGTATGCAAGGACATCCACCACAAGTCCCGGCCGATAGCACACTATTTTTTGATTACTCTTGAAGATAAGTTTCTTTCGGAGTGATGGCGTAATTGCTATGATATGCATTACAATCTTGAAGTAAACTCACCCGGTTTAATTTTTACTACTTTTTCTGCAAAGTAAATTAAGGAAATAGTAAGGTATGTACAGTTACGGCGGTTTTTCTCGGTAATGTGGATATTTTCGCGCAATATGAATGCCAAATCACGTGGGGCAATCCAAAAATGAATGGTGCCATATAGTATAAGTTAATCACAATGCCGATCAGGTTATTTGGTGTCAGAGCTCTTCAAGAATTATCAAGATACGCGGAGCTGCCGATTCTCAGGTGTTTGGATTTTTATCATGGGCGAGATGGCTAAGCGGTTGGAGCACCAATTTACTGACCGGAAGGTCTGTGGTTTGAAACCAAATTCTGGCTCTCGAATTCCCCTGTCTAGGCTTGGACAACCTGGCAGTATCCCAGCCCCCGTGAAACCTCCGGGTGGCATGGCAACTAGGTACCGAAACGGTGCTACAACTGAACGATTATATTAATAACGGACTTTTATCCTGATCAGCCCTGATTCACTTGGGCATCTTTCTTCCTGCTATTGCGCCTTCACTAATTCCAACAGGGTCGCCAAAGAAATCACATCTTCACAGCCATACGGAGACCTAGTTAAGGGCTCCAACAAACACTGTACAAGGAACAAGAGTTCAAAGTGTTCTTAACAGTTAGCGAGATGGCATCTAGTAATCGATACTGACATTTCAGAGTATCACACTCACAAGCATGTGCGTCAGTTAACGCATATACCTCATTAGATTTTCTGGGGTTATTAGTTTACTGCCTTGATGTCTGATGGGATGCAAATCACTCATCACAGACTTGTTTGGTACCTTATATTTTGGGAATCATGAATGCAGTTTGGATCACCAAAGTGACACGAAACATTTCGAAGTGGTGAATGTTTTGCCTTTGTTACGCTGTCTTCTGGGGTGTAAAAACTCGCAGTCTGACAAACTTTGTGTTGGGTATGCCTCATTTATGGAAGGTTTGATTGAATAAATGCAGATTCAAGAGTTTCCGTTGGAATTAGCTCCAAAGGTAGGCCGAATGTTTAACACAGTTCATCATCATATAAAATGGACCCATAATGTCCTTCGGTGTTCTGTGTTGAGGAGGGTTCTACATTGGGACTTATGAACTTAACTTAACTGACTTGTGAACACTTAACCTGGATCGAATCTGGACCACTTGGTGTCGCAAACCCCTTCAAGATGGTACTCAATGTTCAATCCCTTTGGTCACCTCGGATCAAGTAACCCGTCAAATGGACCGGTTTGTCGATCAATAAACAACCGTCGATTCAAGCCGGTACTGGTCCGTGGTTGAACCCTTATGAAAACATTTTCTTCCCAGCGCACTACAACAGACGAGATCGTGCATGACTGATTCACATCATATTATCGTGGCAATGTTCCATTCTCAATCAGAGGGAAAGTTGGTCAAAGACCAAAACCGGACCAAGCTTGTATCAGCTCGTCCCCAAAATCGCAATGGTAAATCATTGCTGATTCGCGCTCTAAGCTCACTATACAGAAAATCAAGAAGCGGAACAACTTACGAAAAGCGCATTCAATCAATTCTGAGGCGGAACAGTTGAAATGTGCAGAGTTTTGTAGAGGAAACTACTCACAAGTTTGCTAAAAAATTCTTTGACCCCGCACGAATGTCACAAAGGACAGATTCAGTTGGGTTTCAGGTAAGTCACCCGTTGGAACCAAATCGGTATGTAAACGAGTACATTCGTCGCGCGCAGAAAGTTTGTTACAATAGGAAAACCATGTACACCAAATTTTATCCGATTGAACGGTTTCCCAAACTAATTCTTTCCCCATATAATTTCTTGCGGCGTCCAGGGCCTCAAAAATGGTGATGGAGAGTAAAGATTAATTGGTCAGTTAAATGAACCATTCACATAGTAACTGAATGCTCAAATGCACGGAATAATCTGGACCAAAGTATAAAAACACAATTTCCGAAGCACAAGGATTTAGCAAGATTTGATGGAGTTACCGAGATTTTAGCATTTGGCCTCACAGCGCTATCTCGTTTGACCAGTCCTGTTCCTGTGCTTGGGTCACTTTTCTTATTAGCCTACGCTCGATCTTCTCATGCGTTAGACCTCGTCACATGATCATACCGAGAATGAATTGCCGAATATGTTGTATGCCAGGCCGGTTTGTCAGAATAACCCATCGGTACGTATTGGATGAATCTAAATCATCATGTCCGAAAGAGCAAGCATGTTAGTGGTTTTCCAGACACCTTCAAAACATATACTGTAGATACAAGAACAATTCACGTATGTTCACAAAACCATCGGTCGTCCGTGGAGCTACCTGGCCGATAAGTTCCGAGGACTGTGTCAATCGATAGACAAAACCGAGACGAGCACCGGATCGTTGTTCCACTAGGCCAATATCATAACATGAGGGAACTAGTCTGCTGTGATATGCACTGAGAATGGAATCGACCTGTAAGTTGTTTCACAAACATTAGAACAATATGGTTTAACTGTGCAAGATTTTTTGACAGTTATGGTAATGGACGTCTGGTGTTAGTTGTTTCGTCCTGTGCGGTAGGTTTTCAAGTAGTCACGTAATCAATACCTTGTAGATTTCGCGGTAAGTTGCTCAACAACCGAGAATTTCCCTCATGCTTCAAAAGTCGTGTTCGGTTTTTTTTAATCAATGAGCCACCTACAGTTCAAAATACAGCTTCCCGAAAATTTGTCCTCGAAATCGAAAAAAATATTTACTTGGTCGGGTGTAAAGAGGTGGGGGCCAAATGTACTCAGGTTTGGGAAGCGGATCAGACAACTCGACACATCGTTAGGTGTAACATATAAACTTTCTCTGGAAGAGTGCGCGTCTGAAACAAAACAACTCGAGGGAGTGCATATCATGTCAGACGCAGCTGAACAATCTAGTTTACTAGGCTTTTTGTCTCGATTAATCGGTTTGCGAACGAGCAGTACGGGGACTTTTGTGTCATATGAGGTCCGGATTGGGCTAAATGGCTTTGGCGTGGTTTTTGAACCACGCGTGAAAGTATAAAAGACAGAGGGCATTTTGAGACTTCGAACTAGAAACATGGATCCAATCTGCATCGCCCCTCACCAGCCACAAAGCGTACCTAGATGAGTTTGATGAAATTTTTGACCTAACATTACTCCCTAAACTGCAAGAAATTTTCTACTCGCCCTATCGTTCCAAATAACTCGCGTGTAATGTTCTGCTCCACACCCCGATAGGAATGGTGCTATGCCTCGATTGGATTGTAAATCAATCAGTCGAGTTATTCAAACATCGTTTTAGGGTGAATAATAGCTGATAATTTCTAATCGATGGAGCCATACAGCAAAAGTACATGACCAAATTAATTTTTTTCATTGATGGAGAGGATTGTGACTAATGAATTGAGAGGTAATTTTTTTCGGTTCGGTAATCCTTCCGCAACAAACGACTTACCTGCTAGTGATTCGTATAGTACTAACAGGTTGATAATACATCGTGACATTTTCACATACACAATAAAATAAACCGCTTCTGGATATAGGAGTAATTACCCAAGAAAAATGAACGACGTTTTTGTCAAAATCTTCCCTTCCAAAGTCTATAGTAGCGTTACGACGAATCGTTGGTAAATTGAATCGCGTCTAACGCATCAAAACTGTAAGATTTGTCGCACGAATTTCTCGGGCAAGGAAACACCCTGTTCGCCGTGAGATGCAAATGGTTCCGTTCTCGAGAATATTTTCCGTCTTGACTATTAGTGTTTTTGTAACGGTAATTTTTGTGACAAATTAGATGTAATAAGACATACCCCCTGACAAAAATATTTTATTTTTGCCTACCTTCCAATCTTGTTTTTGATTTTTTTGCAACTTTGCAAGTTTTTTCTACGTGTTTTGATGATGGAGGCAAATGGGTGCAATTTCTTGCGTGCACCACACACACCAGTGAATAGTGTCCCAGAGCAAACAGCTACGCAAACTCCACATTTCACAATGTTTTAAAATTGATGGAGTCATCCGCTTCATTCGGTAATATCCGTTAACCTGAAGTACTCATTATAACTACACAGTGCACTTGGATCTTCTTCATCGTTCGACCAATCGGTGCCTTAGATTTCCTGCTTCCAACACTCGTTTGACTGCTCATCGCTGATATGTTTGATGTCCTCAGCATTCGAATAGTTCATACACACACACACACCGATATGCGTGTACTCTTTGCTCAGATGACATCAATTTATCTTCGGATAATCACAAGGCCAATTAATTAAACGACCAGATAAAGTGTGGGCTCACCGCCAACGTTGATTGTAACCTTAGTTTGCACTAGATCATTTGTTCCGTTTGCTGGTTATTTCTCGTTCTCCTTCTTCTCAGAGCTTTGGACGCCTGAGGGGCTTTCGGTTCGATTGCTCTTTAAATAAGTGCTTTCAAATAAAAGCCAAAATACTGCATCTTGCGAAGACGAGTGATTCCTAGAATAGCGTTCCTTACCCGCCTTGAGTTCAAAAAATTTCCAAAAACGCATGTGATAATTTGTTACGTAAATGAATGGCGGTCGTATACGTATGAATCTAGGTTATAGATTTGATAGGCACGATAAGCAACTGGTTTGAACGTTAGCCCTTTGAGTCAACAGATGACGCCAAGTTGAAAACATTTGCTAGATAAACACACGTACGACAATGTGAATAGCATTTTCAAAATCGGAAAACAGTGATGCCGTTTCAGATAGTTTGAAGTGAACTTCTGTGCACAAACCCATATGGCATGCTTGTTAGTCAGTCTCCTTAATGATTATCGGGAACAAGCGCAGTGCAATTTTATCGTCAGTTATGAAATATGGGGAATCACTACGGAGTGAAGAAAATAGGATTGCTACTGTGATATCTCGAATATCGTGCCAACTGAAACATGTGGCGGCCTGCGTGCAGCACATTCAGTTGTGGAATATCATAAACGAGAGATTCCGTTGAATCTCTCGTGAAAATCATATTGATTTACAAATGAATGTATTTCTTGAAAATAGAATTGCTTTTACCCTAAAACAAAGCGACTGAGGGATGACGCTAACAAGACAGAATGCAAAATCAGTTAGGCCTACAATTAGCATCAGTAAAATCCAGGCTGATAAGAATACCAAAGACAACGAGTATGCTTTTCAAGACGAAAGATTTGAGGAGAATTGAGTGAGAGGAATAAGTCCTACGCCAAAACAACGCTTCAATGCAAATAAGTTGACGTTTATGAGTTGTTATGTTGTGGGAAGGAAGCATAGTTCATGCACAATGAAGGGCAAATAAAGGAAACTAGTACAAATGCAATATAAGTATTTGCACTTTTAGTGAAGAAAATTTGGAGATTCCGGAAGAAATTGACCAGAAGTGCATGCCAGCCAGGCGAAAAACGGCTTTTATGAGGCCTTACATATTCCGAAGCGTCTCTTGGGAAGCCCTTTTGTGGCCGTATTTTTGTTCGACCTGAATAACTAAAACCTCAGCTGACAATATTGCTGGTGAACAGTGACAGCACGGAGAGGTCATCGCTGTGAAATAGGTACATAGCAACAAATGCTCTGAGATTCCCAACTGAGATAACGTGTCCCGACACAAAAACCAAAACGATACATATGGATTATGACGTATAGCACTGCGAATATCAGAAAGGCTACCGTCCGTTGAACCAGTGACGAACGCTCCGGGTTCAAGTACTTCTGATTTTTTTCCTACTTGATTTAGAAGTGACGAAGCTGACAATGATCTAAACCCACTATGACGACCTCTTTCATTGGCTTCACCAGCTATTCAGAAAAGGAAGACACGGAACAAAAAGTGATACCAGTCTACAGTGAAAATCGAGAAGCTGAATGCCCAAACAGGCGAAGTCTCAACTTCCAATTGTTGAAAATCTCCTCACACTACTAACAATCTGGAAGTAGCTCAGAGGAAGAATAATTTCACCAGGCGCGTGAAACTACCATTGTCGCTTGGGGAGTCAGTCAAAACGTGACCACGTGACACGGATTCTATGATGGAAAAACCAATGGCGCTAGGTCCTGTCCATATGTGGGTTGTCACATTGCTGAACAGCGCTGCTTGCCAAATGGTTAAGTCTTCAAGCTACCAACGAACAGGTCGCGATGAAAGACCGCAACATTACATATGTATCAACAGATTGATTTACTCGTAATACGGAGTGATTTCATCACTTGGGAGTTCAAAGAACTTACGGTTTTCTGTACAAACAATGACAAATTATTTATGTATGATTAATATGCAAACGAATGTGGGTAATAAAATATTTGATGTGATTTTAGATGACAGCCCCCCGCCACAAATTGCCTCAAAGGAATGAAAAAACTCTTGGAATGTCAACAAGTTTGCATTCGTCATTTCTTTTTCTAGATGAAACTTGTACATTCAGGACCATAGTTACAGGAGCTATTAGAATTTTCAATATGGGTATCACTGCTAAAATAATACAGTTGTCATGGTTAGGACAATCTCTCTCCGAAGGCTAGCCTCTTCTGTGATAATTGCAGGAAACTGCTCCACTTTCCCTCAAGAACATGGTTCATGTTGTCTAATCTGACGGAAAACCAAACAAAACGTAGAAAATCATCTCATGCCCCGTAGATCACGCGTAGACTGCACATGAGAGGAGACAAATAAATCGCATAGTTCTTGCAATTGAGGTTTTGTCTACAGAGATGAAAGTCAACTGTCGATTGCACTTAACTACTACGTGGGCGACAGGTTTGTGGAACGTGAAAGGTACTTAGTGCTTCACCATTTTCTGCGCAGACTGGTTTTTATTACATGTATAAATTACATAATATTATATATATATACTGGTTGCTAGCACAGATGCTTGATGGATAGTCATGCTACCGCTTGTAATGTTTTTTATGTCGTATGCATTCACCCAAGGCAAACTACAGAACAACATCAAATAAAGCTGCTTTCAGTCTGTGGTAACCGTATTTTTCTCAGCTTAGTTGCCGGTCTGAGCCTCACAAGCTAGCGTTCACGTCAAAAACAACCACCAAAGGTGCACAAGGTATATTAACGTTCAAAACAAAGTCAGTAACACTTCTACAGCGCTTCATATATATAGCGTAAGCGGCACTGACTTTCTGGAAACTCTGACGCGTTCTGGATGCGCCATTGGCAACCGGCATTTTGCCAATACTGAGTCATGATTGGCTGTTGGGTCCAGATTGTTGACCAATCAATCTTGTCTTTGATGCCGGACCGGCAAGCGTCCCGAACTTTTAACCAGTCTTGCGTGGGATGGGCTCTTCGGCCGCAGCAGCACCTGACTGCGAGCGGTCAAGAGGGAATTGTGTGGATTTCCGCCTAACGCAATAATTATTTATTTTTTGGTTGTTCTGTGTGAAAGATGGATGGGTTGACACGAAAATTTTAGAACCAAAAACTACTCATTCAGATACGATTGGTTCAGTTGATATAATAATCCTTGGAATAGACACCAGAGAAAAACACAATAATGGTTTTCAGCAGTACAACCGGTCAGTTTGAGTGAATAATGCCTTGTAATTGGGAGTAGAGAAAGAACTCGGGAAATGGGTGGCACTTATGGCTAGCCTATCACAAATACCGAGGTACATACACCTGTAACACTCAGTCAGACAATTGACACCGCCCAGCACTTAGCATGGGTTAGCCACCATATCTTTCAATATCTTTATCCAAGCACACGGAGATCATGCGGGCCCCATCCTGGGAGGCAAACAGCACTAACAGCTCAGACTTCGTGACTTTCATCCCTCCTCTCATAGGTCATGTTTTGTCTACCACTGCTAAACGGTTGCCCGTAATGAAGCTCTTCCCGGCAGGAATAGTCTGCGACTTAGCCACCTTAGCTAGAGAGATGCACCTTAAGTTTCCCAATTAACTTATTGCTAATTCGCTAATCCAAACCGATTTCAGCTGCAGTTCTTTAGCATTGATAGACAACTGTCTGAAGATTTCCACACGAAATGGTAAAGTCTCGCAATTGTACTGCACGTGATGTGGTCTGGCACATCTGTCCTTTGAGCTATAATGGTGTAAAATCGCAGTTCTGCTAAAAAAAATACCACCTCGGCTGGTCATGAAATGGTGGCAGCCAAATTGTTCGCCTTAACGAACAAATGAACGGCCAACTTCAGAGTTAATAGAAATTCCGAGGTACGTAAATTTCTCCAAACTTCCAGCATCTATCCTTGAAACCTTGGGGACATTTTCGATGATTGCACGTCACATAGCGTGATCTTGGACTTTGTAGATGTGAAGCACATGTAAATAGATTGAACAACCTTCATCTGTTTTCTAATGACCCCGGCACTGCCCGCTGTGACATTGGATTCGCCAAGGTCATGAGAGCAAAGCAAACAAATCAAGCAACAATATCCACAGATTGGAGAAAAAATACGGAAGAGGAAAGTAATGTAAACTGAGGCTAAGCCCTTCAAACAGCTAGTCCGTCCTCCTTGGGTTTCTGGTAGTCAACAGAAAATTTCCAAAAGATTCTTATCATGTTGCAGATGTCCCCTTAGATTATCGTCTTTGTTTGTCGATTTGTTGAAATACAAGTAGCTCGGTGTGTTTACTGTTGGCTTGATCAGAAGGCAGTTGATCTTCACCGAGCTTGACAATTGGTTGAGGAGACATCGTCAGTGCGCAGTTGAGTAAGTCTCGTCTTCGTTTGCTGAAGTAGCTGCGAGAGCCGGAACAGCAGGGCTGACCCAAAGTGTCAAAACCAGAAATTATGAATGATAGCAACGCCATTGTAGGCACAGTCATCTGTTTTCGCGCAAATAAAATCTTGTTAAAGTGTTTTAGGGCATCAAGTAGTTCGGAATTAAATGAAAAAATATTAAAATCCAAATTGTTCTTGCCCTGAACAAGAACAAATTATCTCTCTTGCTTTTTCTAGCAGGAAGGAGACTAGGGACCATCAGAAAACGGAGGTAGTTGACATTGGGGGCAGATTACTAATATCTTCGTCCTGAAGTAAACGAAATGTGGGGGAGTAGGCAGGCTTGTACTGCCCAAGATCCTAGTTCACAGTTTTGCTCAACTGAACGAGATATTGATTTGAAATCGGATCCGATTATGAGCACAGCAATAATGAATTCCAGTAGTGACCAAAAGCATCTTCCCCTAAATTTCAGTCAATTTCAAAGCATACCCGTCCAAACCGCTCTTCTTGAAAGAACTTGATGTCTTTTTTCGTCGACTGGGATTCAAAGTACACTAAAGAAAGGATTCTAAGGGTAAAAGCCGTTCAGGGTTTGTCAGAGCAACCGGTCTTACCAGCGTATTCTTTCGAATGTAAAAATCTAGTAAGACTCTGATTCAGCATACGGTAACTCACTCGATTCATCTGTGAAATAAAACAAAGTTGGAGCAATTTCATCGAATGCAGAAATGCAAATGTCGCGAAGAAAACATGCATAATTTCACAAGTAAACCCGTCATGCCTAAAACACAGTCTAAGTAAGCAAGTGCAGCGATTTTCATCAATTCTTCAATTGGTTTTCGCAAGTGTAAAATGCGAACAAACACGTTATTGTAAACTTTGCAGGACACGGAAACGGTTTCAAAGGTGCTGGGTAGGGAGGAGTTGATTGGCCATGTTACTCAGACACAGAGACCTTCTGCTTGGCCTGTGTGCTACTGATATGACGTAAACGGACTGCGTGGAACCAATGAGGACTGTGCATTAGCGAACTACACTCATTTGCATACCGACTTGGTTTTTTACGGGAGACCCAAATGAATCTCTCGTTTTTACTCCGTTCTTGCTCTACCTGACGAGCCAAAGGCTGTTGAAGATTTTTCAGCAACATTTTGAATAATGTGTTACCTTTGTACGGAGACTGTGCAAGTTTCTTTCTAATTACATAGTGGGACTTAATGAAACGTATGTTTTTGACCTTATTTCAGGTCAACCATCTTTATCCGTCTAACTGTTTGAATGATATGGAGGAAGATCAAATGATTATCGACCTATACAATTTGAGTATCTATCTTAATTAAAGTGGGAAGATATCTGTTCATTGTTGATAGCGTATACTGTATTACGTCTCCAAAAATTGTTCTCGGGATCACTAAACCCGTTCAAGATGCTTTTACAAGCGATGATCAAGCGATGGCCTTCCAACCACAGGACACTAGTTGATATCAGTACATCATCGCTTTCTATTCAACGAACGTGCAAACGGCTTATCCCTAGAAATCGACATTTCAGCACCATTCAGCACTAACCTGGTCAGTCTGGTGTGCACTGTGCTCAAATTAAACGTAATTTGCTATCAATGTTTCGAAATATCTGTAGCTTGGGTGTGTCCACTGCTGGTTGATCAAATGGTAGTCGATCTCTTGGCCGAACTTGGCAATTGGTTTGCAAAAGTTTCGTCCTTAGTCGAGGAGATATCATCAGTGCGCAGTTGAGTGGGTGCTTCCTCCGTGCTTGGCTGCGTTCATATAATTTCCGAAGAGTATCTATCACGTGCTACTACCATAATCGATCCATTGACTCGGGCAACCGTGAAACTAACGTCCGAGCGGGTCCCATATGGTTACGATGTCCAAACCAGATGAAGTGCGCTTCGCCCAATTACTTTTCCCCACTAGGTTTTGGACGCATTGATTATATTACAACCATCCATTTCTTCAACAATTTTATGCTCACCTTCCATTTTTTCCATAATTTAAACTTGCTAGCAGCCCATCTGTTTGCAATCTTGGATCACAATCGGAAACCTGAGCAGTAAATTTTTCCTGTGTTGTCTCATTGAGGGTCACTTCTTATCGAAGGTTTCTTTTAGAAGTAAAACTGCAAAATTTGTCGTAATAATGCCACCTACTTAGCTTGGCTTTTTCTGCTATCCACTGGTTGATATATTCCATAGGGAATGCATGCTGAAACCAAAAACAATGCATGCTGAAATGTCGAGAAGCACTCTTCAGCTGTTCCATCGTTATTGGACATGTGACCGAACGGTTACTTGTTCAACCTACTAGTCGGGACCCGGCGGGCTTGAGATTCACACGGTTGATGATTCTCAATAAAAGTGAAACAGCCGTACGATGCTTCTTATCCAATCATCATAGATTGGCCTTGCCGACAGCCCCAAAGTCTCAAGTGGAACTCCCCAAATCTGCCCAGCCTACCAGTAAAATGTTTCATATTACGCTCACCCCCACGTGAGACTATATCTGAGACTAGACATACTATTGCATTTCGGTCGATTTGTTTCGGACCATTCTCCATCAGACGGTCTCATCAAAATGGCATAATATTTTGACATAAGGCTGATAAATGTTGGAGCGCGACTGGTAAATTGAGCTCCTCAGGTCTCGCATTAAAATGTCAAATTTATCTATTGTTCACCCGAGCTTCAGTTATCATTTTTTGACTTCCACCGATAAGACATGATACGTCTTGAGACTGATGTGACATCCAGCTTTGGACCAATAATTGAACTCCACCTGAAATGTCACACTCGGTAAATCAGCGAGCACGCAGCAGGCTTCTGACCGGAATCGGATCAAATAATCGTGTCATTTTTCAATGGGGATAGTCCTAATATGCGGGAGCCAGCTGACAGAAAATATTGCTCGTTCCCGTTCTGCACAGTTCAACACTTTTGGTTAGTCGAATACAGTGATTGTCTCGCCACTCAGTCCAGACTGACCAGGCATACGATGATAACTTCGCTTGACAGTTTTTCCAAGGGGTGTTCACCATCGGTAATCTGTCCAGAAACCATGTGTCCGAAAGGAAAAAATTATTCTATGTTCTTTCATAAACTAACATCACAAAAGTATCAGGAGTGAAAGTTTCTACTCGAGTAAGATCATCTAACAACAATTTCCAGTTTGTGAATCAATTAAATTTTGCTAAGAAAAAGAAAACGAGTTTTACAACACATTTTTCTGTTGTTGTGGAACATTTATCGTGGTAGCGTTGGGAGTGAAAAATAGCCTCGATTTTTAATTGGTGCAGACGCTAAGTGTAACGAACCTGCCTCAAGCTTGGAAAAAAACACAGTAGCTAATAGAAAAACCTACACTCTTCGGTGTTGGGAAGTTTCGCGTACCAGTCTGTAAAGTAAGAAGAAACGAACGGGAGGCAAAATCTGTCACTTTGGCTACTGAAAAATACAAATACTACGCCTTTGGTAAAAAAAGTCTCTAATAAACCGAGAAAACCGAACACTTTTCAGCGAGAAAATGGGTAATTTATGGAGCAACAGTGAAATAAAAACAGCTCAGATTCCGATCCAATATTAACGCGGCTACACTACAAATTATACATGTGGGTTCTCTAATACTGATAATTGGTTCCTGAAGCTTAATTTCATGAGTTTCAGTACCAAAGAGAAAAGAGAGATTCTGGTGCACAAAATAGTTGATGCTTCATTGGCTATTAAACTAGGCGATGCGATTTTCCCCAGGGGATACTGCACACCACACCGTGCAGTTCGTAGAATAACTTGATGGGTAGTGATCGATTTCTTTTGGTTTATGACATGCGGATATCCTCGAACTAAAGAACCTTTTGTGGGGAGTGCCACGGGAATTCAACACCTACGGTTTTACGATGACGACAATGCACACTTGATACAAGTAACGTTAGGTGATTTGTTTTTGGAAAGTATGCGCTAATCCTACGCCTATTTCATGGGTGGGATGCCCTATCTCGTCAGTTGAGCAACCGAACAGGGTCGCGATTGTCAGTTGGCCGAAACCGGTTGATAATATCTCACCAGTCTTGAGGACCACATGGATGAACTCCTATTTGAAAATGCTTGTAAATGAGCTCGTTTTTTTCAAAATATTTCATGTATGGTCTAATCTGCTTCGGTTTGCATGAATAATCATCTTTCTCCATCACCAGTCTGAAAAAGACAGGGGATTGTCTTCGAGGGAGTTTTCCACAATTCAGTCTCCAGAACTCGCTGTGATGAGAATTTCTCAAGTTTTTGAATCATGTGTGCTATGTGCCGATCGCGAACGCATCATTGGGCAAAATCGGTGCCAGGAATCCAGCTTTCCGACTGGTCATACACAATCACAGTCATGTGTGATTCTCGCCCTCTTCATGTGCTTGTTTCCGACACAGCAAGAAATTAAAACTAAGCAAAGTAATTTGCATGTATCCAGGTGCCAATGTGGAAATTTGTTCAAAACAGAAATCGAGAATTGACTCCAAAGTAAAACGTACCCAGTGTTTCTGCTATATCTTCTATACAGGCAAACACGAACAAAAACTTTTTGAATTTTGTGGGTGCATTACCAAATGGTGTTAAATTCGTAGAAACGGAAACAAAGTACGGCATCAAAAAATCTGCTCAAAACTAGAACTCCATAATGACTCGGTTGAGTAGACCTTCGAAAGCATTCTGACCCCCAGACAAAAATGTCAATAGAAGAAATGCTTTCTGTGCCTACCTTAACCAGCTAAGTTTGGAAGCTGTCGAGAAATTTATTACTCAGCCGTAAGACTCTACTAACTAAGATACTAATAACTAACTAAAACCGAATCCGGGTGCAAATGAAAGTATTGATTCCGTTTTGAAGTTGTGACAATGTGAAGTATATTAATCCCAGCGTGGTCTATTTCATCTCAACTCGCCAGTTGTGGTTTGTAGCTTGACATTTCTGTCCCGTTGATTTGCTTCAGTGATTGATGCAAGCGCAAACCCATACATGACTGCGGGCGCCGAACATCGTGCGCTTAGCGAGAATTCAATTATCATGAAGTACGCAAGTCAGGCCCCGTGATCACCAGGTCATGCCGCACTCTGACTTTTAACTCGTTTTTGCTCAACCCGTCTAAAAACCTGTGAGTTAGGCATCTTCCTAATAAACCTCATGTCACGCACTAGACTCCAAAGCCTTTTTATCATTTTCCATGGCCCTTGGAAAACGAAAAACTAGATCCTAAATAGTGGTGGGTCGGATTCGGATCGAACCAGGAAATGTCAACAATATCTCCTTATTCGTTAGGGATTCACCGTGAATTCAGAAAACGGCAAATCACCTGTGGCAGAGGACTAGAACCGATTCTCAGTAGGCCTCAGACTTCTAAAAATCTAACGGAATAAATTGCTGTTCATGCTGTGTTTGTGCTTATGGAGTTTGGTAAACCAATTGTTTCATAGAAAAACCAAATCATCGTGTTCAACAGTTTGTAGGCAAAATTGTCAAAACAGGCAAAGATATCAACGCAGCTGGAGTGGAAACAACACGGTTTCATCCCTGCTTCGCGAAAGACGAACACTTTTGAACGGAACACTGGTAAGAATGATAGCCCTCCCACCGAATAACGATCGAATTCCGCACAGCACACGTAAAACAAGGGGAACAACTCACTTTTGGTCTGACGTGGATAAAGCGAGTGAAACGTGTTTGTTCATCAACCGGACATCAGTGAATAGCCAGAATAACGGAACTCAGCCAGTTCAAGTAGGGTACGTTCAAGGAATGCTTCAGTTGAAATGGATACCACGAATACAGGTGTTGAAAGTAAAGTGACTGCTTCTGGACCTGTCTGTTCACTGATATCTGAACGCCAAACATTCTGCATTAATTGAGCCATCCATTCCACTGAGGAATTTTCTCAGTTCACGGTCATATACATAACAGAAAAATGGCATTACTCACCGACTCCAACCATTCTTGATTAAAATTAAAGGACAAAATTCTCAGACCCATGTTGCATGGAATATCTCTCGTTTTCACATGCTACATATTAGATTTCAATATACGTCACCTAAGAATGCAGTGGGTTCATCAATGAAACGAGTGAAGTGGGAGCTGCCCTAAGAAAGAGGTAGTTTCGGAAATCTAAGGTAATTTAATGACCAGGCTCTTTGGACACAGTAGCCGACTGATAAAGAGCCTTTAGTCGCTTTGGATTCGCTGAATAACAATCCACTACTGCGTTTTTGTGTCCCCGCTCAACTGTCTTTCCCAATACGTTGTCGAAACAAAATCTCGTGCTCTTCTGCTGTTGATCTATGATTCACAAAGCCCATCCCACACAGCCAAATAAACACTAATCACTCCTGTGTTGCAGTTGATGTTCTTCTGATGCTCACGCAAATACCAAGTCCCACTGCATTCATTCCACAGGACACTCAATCGAATTCACATAACACCACTGATCATTGGCAGTACACCAATGTGTTTTGTCATTTAAGGTTTTCACTCATGATTTGAGTAGAAACTCTTTCCTAACTCGCCGGGGAATAACTACGGATTAAACGCCCGATTAAAACAGGAGAACTCATACGCGTAACATAGTGGCTCGCGAACTGCGCAAAACGATGTGGACTGCATGTCCAAATGCCCAGCTAAATGTGTTCCACCTAACAAGGTGTTTAACTCTCAGTTTCCTGGGAAAATTATGTGGGACAAACGTACTGGTACCGGATAAATATTACCAGGAACAGCGCGCAATTCCTCAACAGTAATGGCGCTTTGTGCAAAAGTCATCACATTCACCTCAAGTTGAACTGAACTTCAGAGGAAATCAGGATTAACGCTAAGGTCTGGAGGCGTTTTCTGGAATCATGAAGAACGTCATATTTAGCCTTGAAATATCTTTCTTTGTGTTATTCGGCACCTGTGGATCGTCTCGCCTTGCGTTATTGTAATGCATTATTAGTCCAACTCACATATTTGACTTTCTCCAAGTAATCAACGGTAAAACTGGATTTCATATATCAAGACGGTTTTGAAAGCAAATGTCTTCAACATCGGATTTGGGTTGAACGGAAGATGTGAATGTCCGCGGAAGTTGGTATACCATAAATGATGAGCTCACAAAAAACTTCTGACCCCCGGTGATACTGATCGTTCATAATATCTGATAAATCTTCAGCCGATGAGCAACTGTAAAAGAACTAATTTGACCCTAGAACGTACTAAACTAAAACAAGCATTGTTTCGTCGACCTGTTGCATACCGCGTGTTGAGTGCGACTTTACTAGTGTACTGGTCACAGATGAGCTTTGATCCACACAATTATTCGTCAGAAGCAGATACTTGTGTTAGTTTCAGTAATTCAGCGTTCTCCGTATTCAGCTAAGCTGAAAGTACCGACGAGAGTAAGAATTTCAACTCAAAGTGAAGGAGTGCCTAATGGTAGATGGAAACGTTGACGTTGTTAATATGAAAAAAGTCCAACGTCCATTATTTTATCCAGTAGTCATGGCCAAAAGTGGACAAGTTTGGGTAAGGAGGCTAAATCCCTAATTGCCAAGATTTACTGAAATGCTTACTTTACGTGTGATTTTCGGTAGTACATAGTACACTGGCTTAGTCTGTTGCTAAACAGCAATGACTGACATCGAACCAATGGACAGTTTGGTCTAGTTCCACGTTTGGCCCCTTTGTGCAATGCGGTTTTGAATGCCCCGAAATCCGGCCTTGCTGTGGAGTGGAAATCTCGCCCCTATCGAGTGGATGCAACATTTCTCGCGACCGATGGGTTTAGATGTGAAGGACTGCATTGCCTTCTATCCTGTCCAGTCAAAGAAGCTCAAGGTGAAAATCTTGACAAACGTTCACTCGCACTGGTGACTTGTCCAGTTCGGTACCCTAACTGTTTCCCATTCTAAGAATAACTGTCGCGTGATATTTACGATAGATTGTGTAGGAAATGCAGAAATTCTGGATTAGTCCGATCAGCCTCGACAAAATGAGTTCGGTAGGGATTCGAACTTCTGATAAAATTGCTCGAGTTTATGTGAAATCTTGTAAGTATGCTTCCTATGATTAGGTATTTTGAGGTGTGCCTTTCCGTCACATGTGTTTTCCAACAAGGCTTTGAGGATTAAACTCCACACTTGGTGAAGTACGCACATAAGCAAGTTAAGTTGGCATTGACGAAAGGCACATCTACCTCTCAAGTGAATCTCTCAAGCAAGATATTTCTCACCTCGGAAAGGTCATCTGATGTTGCGTCTGGTTATCGATCACTTTGTTTGCAAATGAGTGTATTACACCAGTCACGTGAAATTTGTTTTTTAATGTCGGATACAAGGTTGGTAAAGTTTTGGATACTATGGCTAGCTGATGAGCCCCAAGGAGGAAAAGATCGGTAGGGGGCTGTCAGATAATATCCAACCACCTCTTGAGTAGTATCTATTGTCAACAAATGCATGTCAAGTTGATGTTGATAACGGGACACGCTACAGAGTGGGTGCACACAAGAAGCATCCTTCCCAAGTCATCTGAATTACCACTGTTTGAGCGATCGGCACCAAAACGCAGAATGTGGTACCAATGAGAAAAAACACAAATTCCTGCTAATAAAGGTATCACTCAGGTACTTCATGTCATGGCGTTTTCCAAACATGGAATTAACCTGAATCCCCAATTACAATTCGGAGGTATTCTTGCGCGCACCTCCAAACTGTTTGATATTTAGTTATTTTTCAAAAGGATAATTCTCTTAGAAAGAAGCCTGAACAAAAGTGTACCCCTCCAACCTTTCGATGACAACCACATGCTTATGTGGTTTGAGTTGACTTGATAAACATGACAACCTGACGACTTAAGATTGGTTTTGCTCACCGGCGACCATTAAATGGAGAGGATATGTGGGCATCGGATTTAGTTTGAACAGGTTGCGCGGACCCAGTGGTATTTGATAATGTGAGCCTTTGATAGCGCCACATGGTTTTCTATAGCCATCCAATCAACCCACACAGCCCGGCATCACAAACATTTGATAAATAAAAAACCGTTCAGCTGTGACACTTTCGGTGTCCAGGAAGGGAAGGGAAGCACGAAGACCGAGATGCTCAGGTTGCATAAGCCTAAAGTGTAGCAGTCGATATGCGGAGGTCGGGTTCGAACCACTGACCTTCCGGTCTGTAGATCCGAGTTCTAATCACTGAGCCATCTCAGTGGTATTCTCGCCCCAAAATCTCAGCTCTCTTTTCGGGTAAAAATTCATCGGCTCAGTTGCATATGTGACTCGTTTTTGCGAATAAAATGTGCACAGCAATCTAGGGAAAAATGATGCTAAAATTTGCTATTGATCGATTGTCAAATAAAGCATTAATATATACGTTATCCAAAGTTCTCGGCCCATTTGTGGCCAATCGAAAAAAGTAACTGTGGACGGCGTTTCTCACCTAATTATGAACCACTTTGGTGGATGAATGGGCTGTTCTGTATAAAGCTGGTTCATCATGATGATCACCGTGTTATGTGTTGGTTCGATCCCCGTTACATCCCCAAGAAACATCACGAGCAATAGAAATAATGACAGACCAAATTCCGAATTCGTCAAGCAACGGTGGATTAATTACATATGAAATATCGGGAGTGTTACACCGAATAATATTCGACGTCGATTCAAGTGGGCATGTCATAGATCAGTCAAGAAACCAAATGGAGTAAATCTCTTACCTCTTGTCTGAACAAAGAATCGAGTGAAACGTGTAGAATTCTGTGGATTTAACACTAATAGGAGTCAAAGTCACGAGGGCCCCTATTTTTACAAAAGAGCATGCCTACCAAAACAAAATTTGCTGACATGGACACTGCAAAACAAAAACTTCTTGGTGTTTTTTTAAGCATTTACAAACAAAGGCAACTTAGGAACGTTTTTATTCAAAAAAAAGAGTTGACCGCTAATAATTGCTTTAGAACATTCAGCTGGAGGGACGCCTGGAATGCGTAAACTGAACAAATTGCTCTTTGTAGTACCGTACTTCTGGCGGAATTTCACTTTGATATATAACACACTTAGGTGTTTTTCAGACAAACGGTCGCTGCTCATCGTCAGAGGTCCAGCATCACCAAGCGAAAACATTACAAAGATAGATGGTAGTACTCACCGCTGCGAAAACTTAAACAGAATTGAGAAAAGGGGTATTGTATGGGTTCAGTTGACACAAACCATACTGACTTCCAATTCTCAGAACACCGAATAGAAGCTAATATGAGCCCAAAGAAGGTGCGGTGGCTTTCCAAATCAATCTGTTAACGTCCCAAGTATTCCAAAGGTGGTTTTAGATATTTTATGAAGGTCCTCCTTTCAAACAGCTGTCGAGGAGCGAACAAATTTGGACGCCTTGTGTTCGTTGATTGGTTCACACTAACCACATCGTGGTTACTCTGTTCAACGAGGTTTTCTGATAGGATGATAAGACACTGTAGAGTGAGCCTTCAAATGATGTTTTCTTTGTCATCACCTTATCGGCTCAGAATACACTTGTTCCATGAACAACGGGCTTGGTTGAACAAAACCTTTCAAAGCTTCCCATTTATTGTCAGGTTTACATCTACTAGAAAGAGATTTCGCTGCGTTTATAATAAAGTATGCAGGAAGGATTTACGAGAGATACCCATTTCCATTCGTTCTCCGTATGGAGATGTTTCCTCATTGCCTTCAGTAGGGGTTTTTTTAACCCGGGAGTAGGGAAGGTGATCCTCCGACTAAAGCCATTCACAGAAAATGTACGCGTAACTTAGAGTCTATGTTATTAACGAACTGTATGTAGGTACTTGCTGATCACATAACAGACGTCCTGCAAATGGAGCCCACTAAACAAGGAAATAAGCCTGTTTATCGAGCCTCAAGGACGACGAAACCGGTGGTGACTTGACGTTTGGAGATCTAATTCGATTTATGGGTAATGTCATTTTTTCTCAGTGAAGAGTTGTAGATGGTGGCAGAGCTTGTGATAGTTGATTTTGAATCCCTCATGCTTGGACAGCTCTACCTGGGGCAATAATTCCGATTATTCTAGAAAAAAGGGTGTCGCACCGGTTTCTGCATGGGCGGAGACCTAACAAGCTGGTGGGAGTTGGACTATTTCATAAAAGGTCTGTAGTCTTCCCAGTGCACTGACAATACAGTGCAATTTTTTATCAAGGTCGCAACACGAGATGTGTGATGTTGAACCGCACCACAGCCGATGTTATCAAAGGAGTGTTGACCTATGCCAAAGTTGATCAGGAGATACCTCCAAGAAGAGATTTTGCAGCCACAGCACACCTATCCTTTTCTTTCAGACAAAGTACTTCTCCAGCGAATAGCAAGTTCTCTCGATTGAGCACGTTAAACTTACTCCGAGTTGAAGCATATTTCCTTGTTACTGCTCTAGCGACCGCTAGTTTTCTTCTAGCTATCGTGAAAAGACAGAAGACAATGTGCTATCACAGACAGCACCAACTGCTACCTGCGAAGCTTATCTAAAGGGCCTACCTTTGTGAATCGGCTTTAGGATTACTGAAGTCACGTTTTGTATCCCCCCACACACATTCCGATCTGTATCCAGCTCGGAGAAAATCCAGCCGCTAGTGTTATGAAGACCAACAAAACTCGGTTACAGATGGTTTATCCTTGTGGATGCAAATACCAGTGCCAATGCAACGGAAATGCCCTTTTGTTTTTCAAACACATGTTTCATTGCAAAGCTTCCACTTCCGGACGTAAAAGTGCATCACTGCAAGTGTCGAAGTTCACCTTTGCCTGAGCTTTGTCTTGAGCACTGCGCAACCAGAATTTCTCAGTATCCCCGTCTAATGTCCTAGCAAACAAGGGTTTTGTCGTAATAACTCATTAGTCTTCGTCGGAAAAATGCCACTTGCTAAATAAGATGCTAAAAACGTCCAAGACTCGCATATCTGCGTTGTATAACTTTGGGGAAGTAGCCGGGATACCACAGTTAGCTGAAAGTGACTTACCACATTCTGTGACAGGAAGCAACAAACCAAGCAAAATGAACACGTTTATCTCTTTCTGCATGTTTCCAGAACTAATTGCGGCAGATCCAACCTACTTGCTCTAATTATATCTTAGTCTCTCATGCTGATTGGTTATTTTACCTTAATCTGTGATTGGTCAGAACAATGATCTTAGCAAACAGTGGGCACCGTACGCATCTTGCAGTTTTCACCTATAAGATCACACCGCCTGCGTGTTTTGAAAATTGACACTAAAAATGGAGCGGATTTCAGAAAACGGTGAAAAGACTCTTCGTCATGATCATTCCAGCCTTCGGGTTTTACATTTGCAATTAAAAAACATATGTTTTGCTGTGCCTTTAACAACGTCAACGCGAACACAAGAGTAGATTTATGTTGTATTTTCCTGTTACAAACAGGATAAAATGGTTAGAGAACAATCAACTCAAATACCATATTCTCTAGCTCAATATTCGGTACCGATTGTGTCTCAATATCATTGACTTTCAGGGGGACTAGGCCACACAATTGATGAAAACTCACTCCTGCTTGTACACTTTTAACATGTTTCTGTTTGTCCATGAATCAGCGCTTCCGTAAACCGTTCTTGGCCAATATAACTTAGAGTGAAGACTGCACTCAGTAGAACTAAATTATCTGGCTGTCTGTCATTGTAGCTCTGTTTGACCTCATAAAAAATGCCTCAGGTATAATCGGACCTGGAGAAAATATATGAAATCACTGCGGGTGTCAAAAACGTGCACATTTGGGAAAACCATCCTCAGACTATCGTCGCAGAGTAGATATAAACACACATAACCAGTAGCCATGCAGACGCCTGTCAAAAACTTGTCCACATTGTTTAGACCCATTTGTGCAACAAATATTAGACTTCCAAGTGGTTTTCACGACTATGGTTCTCAACACCTTTCAAGGTATGCTTTTGTCAGTACGCGGCTACATAAGGTGTATCTAGCTCTTCAAACGGACTTTCACCAGAACTGGATCAATTATTGTAGCCAACGGGGGAACTTCTAAAACATTGCATCGACGACGCTTCTGGGGCAAAATTCCTGCTCGATAAAAATTTCGCAGAATAGTTTTCCTCAAGTTGGCTGCGCATTAGAGCTTTTCATGCTAGAGTGTACGAGCGAAATCGTGCAACCTTTCTTAATTCAACAGCGTGAGTGCGTGGAACAGACCTGAAACGGTCAATGAACTTCAGCCTCTCCGGTCGTTCATTTTGTGCTAAGACCTGCAAAGTTGAACGGTGTTGAATACCATGCACCGTG